GTCTCTTATCCGCTCAGTCCAACCCCCACAAGACTGCTGGCCTCTATTAGCACCTACTCCACAGGACGGGGCCCAGCACAGTCAGTGGCCACGCCCGTGACAGTGGTTTGTCGCTGCCCCCTCTCTCTGATACGTCTGCATCTTAAGACTCTTCCCTTTAACACCGCGACCTCTTCTACTTTTCAAACTCTCCATCACATCCAGCAGGCAGAAAAACAGAACTACAAAATCATCAGATGTGGGGGAGAGGACCTGTTGCTCACACCTTAACCCAGCACAGCTGCTTTTTGAGGGTGGCGTTGTTTTGTTAGGAACTTGTAAGAGGCCCCATTCACCCAGCAGTGCTGGTGATTCCAGCTGTCACGCGAAGGCTTCATGTCATGACAATCAGATTGGCTCGGTCATGTTTAAGTTTTACGCTTTTAAAGTTTCTAAAGCTTTTAAAAGTTTTAAACTTTCTGCATTTTTCAAGTTCACTTTTTGGGCTATTTTTAACACCTGTTTTTATTGAGCATCCTGAAGAAAAAAATGTCACTGGGAGTTACAAATGTTGTAGCATCTACAAACTGGAATCACAGTCCCTTGTTAAATGGTCACATGCATCCAGCTCGTGTGACAAACACTCACATTGTAAGAAAGTTGCTGGACACACTTCGTATGTGTTTATTCCTGAAATTCTACCCTGATTATTCTTGCAGATCAAGAAATTCTGCGTAAACTAGAGAAGGAGAAGGTCCTGGTGTTCACGCCGTCCCGGCGCGTGCAGGGCAGACGTGTGGTGTGCTATGACGACAGGTTCATCGTGAAGCTGGCATTCGAGTCGGACGGGATAATCGTGTCCAATGACAACTACAGGGATTTGGCAAATGAAAAACCAGAATGGAAGAAGTTCATAGATGAGCGATTATTAATGTACTCATTCGTCAATGACAAGTAAGTAAAACCCCTTACTTACGGTAATACTGCTCCCCTGCAAGTTTAACCGCCCCTGGTGGCTGCTACAGAAGCCCTTTCCCTGCCACTGACCAGCCCTAAGACAGGTTTCCTCCAACCACTGACCCCCCTCACCCTCAGTGGGAGTCAGGAAACTGCATTCAGGCCTCCGGAGGCCCCGTGTGAGGCACAGGCC